ACGGAAATCTGTCTTCTGAAGGCTTGTATCCCAATTTTTTTATATTGTGTTGTTTTTTATTATATTTTTTGTTTATTAAATTAAGTAAAATTTTGTCTAGTATATTATACTGGAAGTCTGTCATGTGAATGTTTGTCTTCCACTATATTATACTGGATGAATATTATAATATAGTTTGAGTTTTATTTCATTCCAGTATATTTTACGGGACTTTTGCTGTGTGTAAGCTTTTTCTCCAGTATATTTCATTCCAGTATATTATAAGGAGAAGCTTTGTTTTATGATCTAAGTATTTGAAATCTACTGTCCATTTGCCATCGAATGCGATAAGCAAGAAATTTGTATGCATCCTGCATTTAATGAAACCAAATAATAAGTTGGAGTTATAATTCGAGCAAAGTATAATAGATACAAATTATAAATTGTCTTACCTATCTCTATTACAATATACTGACCTATATAGCTTAATAACTAAATTTTTCAGTATAATTATCAGTAAACAACTAAAATAAGAAATACAACAATAGTTAAATCAGCAAACTTTGGGTAAAATATCTTTTTTGTGAACATCCTGTATAAAATACTGGACATTATAATTCCGCAAGGTACATCTCCAGCAAAATATACAGCAACCCAAATAATTAGATATTTAGATGCTATACTGTTAAAAAATATAACTCCAGTATAATAAGATGGAAATAATTGAGTTTTTCATATAACTTAAGTAAATTTCAGCTTATTATAATGGAGTTACTGGAGTCACACAAACTTCCAGTATAATATACTGGAAGAATCTAATTTTTACATATTAATTTAGGAAAGTCCAGCAAATTATACTGGTGTTATGTTACGAAGGATTCTATATTATTTATAGTTATTTTGAACAATGTAGATTTTATTAGTTACGATCTAAATTACAGAAAAGAAGATATTTAATACAATTTAGCACAGATTAACGCATTGAGAAAATTAGACAATAACACAGATTAAAGCATTAATTGAGAGAGTTAAATCGGCAAACTTTGGGTAAAAAATCTGGTTTGTGAACATCCTGTATAAAATACTGGACATTATAATTCTGCAATGTACATCTCTAGCAAAATATACAGGAAACCAAATAACTAGATATATAGAAGTTATAATGTTAAAAAATATAACTCCAGGGTCATAAGCTGGAAATAATTGAGTTTTTCATATATATTAAGCAAATTCCAGTTTATTATACTGCTGTTACTGCAGTCAAACATACTTCCAGTATATTATACTGGAAGTGTCTAAGTTTTATATATTAATTTAGAAAAGTCCAGCTAATTATACTGGCGTAATGTTCTGATGGATTTTATATTATTTTTTGTGGTTTTGAACAATGCAGCTTTTAATAGTTACGATCTAAATTATAGAAAAGAAGATATTTAATACAATTAAGCACAGATTAACGCATTGAGAAAATGTGTCAAAATAACACAGATTAAAGTATTAATTGAGAGAACTTACTTCGATTTGCAGAAAATTCGAAGAATCAAAAAATTTTACTGAGAGAATTTTCTGGTTTGAATTACAAACAGAAGAATTGTAGAGAATCACAATTAAATCTGTGNCGATTTGCAGAAAATTCGAAGAATCAAAAAATTTTACTGAGAGAATTTTCTGGTTTGAATTACAAACGGAAGAATTGTAGAGAATCACCATTAAATCTGTGATGGTAGAAGATAGATTTAATTGAGGGAGCTTACTTCGGTTTTCTGTTTAAAGCCGGAAGGTTTTGCTAAAGAAGAATATAAGGTCAAGTCGCATAAATTTAATAAACATGGTAGGAGTATTTTAGTCAATAAATTATTACCGTGCTTAATTCGCGGCTAAATATCGTTGACTTTTGATTATGTGGCTAAATTTGATTGACCAGGTGTAAAACTGACCATTTATAAATTTTACGCTTGGCCTTCTGATATAAGATTTAAAGCAAATACAGAGTTTTGTGTAGTATTGTGAACTCATTACTAACAATAAGTACTACTAAACCAAAATTATTTTAAAATATTATTTTCTGTAGTTATCTTTTATTTTTATAGCAAAATAAGTATTTATAGCATATACTACTATTGAGGCATGAAATACGCTATTTATGTTTTTCCTCTCTCTTAGACAGCTGAACATACCTATTTTTAAGGTGATTGCCGTTACTGTATTCATGAATACATGGTGCGAATACATGTGCGTACAACTAAACTGCCCTGATTTTAGGCACTGATGTTCATGAATACAGTAGCGCGAATACATGTGAATACATGCGCGTACAGCTGAACTACCCTGATTTTAGGCGCTTTTTGCTGTTATATTCATGAACACATGGCGCAAATACATGTGAATACATGCGTGTACATCTGGATTGCCCCGATTTTAGGCGTTTTTTACTGTTATATTCATAAATACAGTAACATGAATCCATGTGAATACATGCACGTACAGTTGGACTGCCCTGATTTTAGGCGCTTTTTGCTGATGTATTCATGAATACATGGCGCGAATACATGTGAATACATGCGCGTACAGCTGGACTACCATTATTTTTAGGCGCTTTTTCCTGATGTATTCATGAATATAACAATATGAATACATCGAATACACTACTGTAACAACTGAATAGTAGCTATAAGAAGTAATTATGTATATGGCCATTATAGAAAATTAATATATATATATATATATATTAATGAATGTTTAACCAATTCAAACACCAAATTAGTTAATGTTGTCAAACTCAATAAAAAAAAAAAATTCCACGAGTTAGATAGAATTAGATTAAAAGCAGGTGAATGATTAAGTAAAGATTATTGTCCTTTTAACTTGGACAAGTTGCTATATACCCAAGCTGATAAATTCCGTTAATGTTGCCTTATAGCTAAGCTATAACCAAGTTACTTTCTATTATGATAATAACACGTTAACACTACTAAATTATCTAGTTAAAATAGCATGGTCTAACCAGTTTTCGGACTAGTCATTCAAAAATAACTAGCGTCTGCTAAGTCATTGAAAAATAGACACTATTTTGATGCAACAGAGACCGGTCCAATATAATATACTGTAGTTCGGTGCACCCGTGTATGAACTCCCACCATATTATACTGGACTGGTATACTTTGCTGGCTCCAGTATATTATGTTGGACCGGTATATTATACTGGAAATCCAGTATATTAGAGTTTCAGTATAATATATTGAAAATCCAGTATATTATGCTGGAGTATTTTTCTGGATTTTGAACAGTGGTTTCGTCCAAATTTATCTTTACATAAAAAGTGACTAAATTTTGATTAACTTTAAAACTGTGGTTATTTTTGAATGACCACTTGTAAATCGGGCTATTTTTGAATTTCTCCCAATTATCTAAGGTCACAGCCTGTTAATTATCCACTAGAGAGGTGCTAAAAGTGAAACCGGCCTTCAACGTCAATCGTTTAGGCAACAACTTATTGGATAAAAAATTCACATATAATCACTTTTCAACTTTTGTAATTAAAAAAATAGTCATTATCTTGGAATTTCAAATCTCAGAAGTGAAACTCTTGGATAATATCATAGAATTTCACTTGTGAAATTTATAACTTCAGGGCAGTGGCTATTTTTCAAAGGTATAGGCACCAATTCTACCAATCTTATTGGATGGGTTTTTTGCTGGATAAAGTACACAAATAGCCACTTTTCAGCCAATTGTAATTGAGAAATAGCCACTACGTGGAGTTTCAAATTTCATATGTGAAATTTTAGAACATTATTACGGAGTTTCAAATACAAAATTTAAAACTCCATAATAATTGTTATTTTCAATTACAGGGCTGAAAACTGACTTCGTACGCTTATGCTGATTTACAAGTTGTCATTCAAAAATAACCACAGTTTCAAAAGTATTCGAAATTTAGTCACTTTTCATATTCGGACGAAAAAACTATTCAAAATCCGAAAAATATTCCAGCATAATATACTGGACTTCCAACATAATTATACTGCAGTTCCAGCATAACTATATTGCAGTTCCAGCATAATATACTAGAGATTCAGTATAATATACTGAAGTTCCAACATAATATATTGGTTCATAATAATATGTTAGAAGTTCATACACAGGTGCTTCATTCTCCAGTATATTATGTTGGAACTTTCCGTATGTTGGAGTTCCAGCATAATATGCTGGAAGTTCATACACAAGTGCACCAATCTCCAGTATATTATGCTGGAACTTTTCGTTTTGCAGCAAGATAGTGACAATTTTTCAATGACTTTGTATACGCCGATTATTTTTCAATTACCAGTTCGAAAATTGACCAACCCGTGTTATTTTCACCGCCAGCTAAGGCCCAATGGGTACTTCTGAAACCCACATCCACATGAATAATTGCTTAATCATTCAGGGACATGAGCCCAGAAATGCAACATTTATAATTAGGATCTCCAACAAATTTAAGCATAATTGATATTTGTAAAATAGAATTATAATAACACAAAGAAAGTATGAGGAAACCAAATCAATACTTTTTATTTCCAACCCCTCTGCTTCTTTAAATTTCTTGATATAGGAAAATTTCTAAATTCTCTATGGTAAGCAACCTCCACTTCCAACGAAGAGGTTGTGAGTTTGAGTCTCCCCAAGAGCAAGATGGGAAAATCACCAAGAGGTTGTGAGTTCGAGTCTTTCCAAGAGCAATGTGGGAAGTTCTTGGAGGGAAGGATGCCGAGGGTCTATTGGAAACAGTCTCTCTACTCCAGGGTAGGGGTAAGTTGTGCGTACACACTACCCTCCCCAGACCCCACTAAATGGGATTATACTGGGTTGTTGTTCTTGCTGCTGCTTGTTCTGCTAGCAGTTTGCAAACAATCCCAGGAAAAAAATATATATTGAAGAAAAACAATATGATTACACTTGATGAAAGAAAGAAAAAAAGTAACAATACAAAATTCCCAAACCAAATTGAGTTAAAACCAAAAAATATAAAGAAGTCTTAACTAGAAAGTCCATCTCAAGATCTTAATTCTCAAATCAAACTTACATTTAGCATCAATAATTGAAGCCACAGTTGGAATTTTTCCTTTAGGAATTAGTCCATGTATATTATCACACGTTATTCTAATTCCCACTTTTTTACTTTTCAATTTCTCCATTTTCACAACCATTTTTGTATCCAACAAAATCTTCACTGGCAATCCATTTTTTCTCTTCAGCTCTGACTTCAATGTTGAAACTGAATCCACATCAAGATCTTGTGATACAATTGACAATGTTGAATGTATATTAGTAATATTATTTGGTATACTAATAAATCCTGGAAAATTTCCATTTGCTAGAACAATTTGGTTTGTTGATTCTGCTGTTAGAACAATTGGATCATAAGTGTAAATAAGTTTCTTGTTTTTATTTTTGGTAGAGAGAGTGATATTGAATTTAGTGGTGAGTTTTGTAGTGTCGTCAGAAGTTGTAGTGAGGTTAAATTGTGAGATTTTGAGAGAAGAAATGGCGAACGAAGGAAGTTGAGGGTGGTAAAGGACGTAAAAAATAGCACCAGCAATAGCAGCAAGAACAAGAATGGAGAAAATGATGAGTACAGACCAGAAACAACATAAACAGAAACATCTACGACAGTTGCAATGACGACGGCGGTTGTGTCGGCGGTTTGGTCGGTAAGGGATGACTTTTGGCTTGTATGTTTGGTTTTTCATGGTGGGGTTTGTGGTGGGAGTGGTGGTGGTGGTGGTGCCACTAGGTTTGGTTGCCATTTTGGTACAAAGTGAAAAATGTGGTACAAAGAAAGAACAAAAACTTTAAGAAGAATATACCGTTATTGTTGTTGTTGTTGTTATGGTTTGAATTGAACCTGGCTAACTTCGTAACATTCAGAACCGATCGAGCTTGGCTAATTTTGTAATGTTGATACTATGAAGTGGTAGCAAAAGAGATAGCATAGATAAAGAAGAAAATATGTGAAAGAGTTATCAAGAAACTATATAAATGTTGGTGAAAAAATGAAAATGGTGAAGTGTCAATGTCTTAGTTCTTTGGTTTTTTCTTAAATTTGGTTCAAAACCCTTTTGGTGAGAGACGTGAACTCCATAACCATAAAGGAAATTGGATACATAACAACTCACCAACAATATTTTTTTGCCTCTCTCCCCTCTACTTTATTTTTAGTTTTTGTGTAACTATATATTTCACTTTTACAGCTTGTTTGGATGGTTATTATGTATCATTTTATATTGTATTGTATTATATTTTACTACTATATAATGTTTGAATAAATTATATCGTTTGTCGTTGTTTCATGATATTATGCACCAGTAATATAAAGAATAAACTTGCAATGTGACCAAAAAAAGTAGGGTACATGGTAAAATTATAATATAAAAAAGGTAGGGTAAATGCTAAAATATGATTATTTAATAATAAGAAAGAATAAGATAAGAATAAATTAAGGTAATGACATGATCACACCAAATCGGTCGTTATATAAAACGACGTTTTTCATCGTTGGATAACGACGGATTTAACGCGATACAATACGATAAAGTTTAATAATTAAAATAAATATTGTATTTAAAGTAACAATACGATACAACACAATATGTAATAACTATCCAAACAATTAAAAATTCTCACGGATAATTATGGAACTTTCATGTAGAAATTAAGGCCAATTTTCATAGAAAACTCAATCTAAACCAAGGTATTTTACATATCAAACCAAACGAGTACGAGTTATAGAACTAGTCTTAATCCATAGGCAGTTTGGTTCAAATGATTATGTGAGTTATTTCAGTATAATTTTTTGGATTAAATTTCTTTTCATATTTGGTTAGAGGTACTAATTAAAACTGATATTATACAAAAATCTCGGTATATGAGATAAATTGTCTAGGTTATAGTCTTGATTTAAACCAATATTTATCTAGCAATTTACTTAGTTGTCTTCTTTACTCTTTTGAATTTTTTTGATGAACATATTTTAGATTCATTTAAGATTCAATAAAGATTCATTTAAGTTTTAATTATCTCAAATTTATGTATTTAGATTAGGTGCGGTGCACGTTTCATGAAATCTAGGTTTAAGGTGGACACGTTTGAATAATAATAAAATAAAAAATAAAAAGGATAAGGGGTATATACCCCATCATTTTTGAATGTTTGGTAGCTGAGAAAAGGATGCACTTCCACATTAATGATCCCAAATCCTACTAAACACTTTGTCTTAATACTTCTTCTCTTGTTAAGGAAAAATGACATTATATAGCCGTTGTGTGTTATATATTTTGTATGTTATATATAAAAAATATATAAATTTTATACAATTTTACAACTATCTAATATAATTTCGGTCACTAGCTAAAAAGTGCTTATATTAAATAAAGCAATTGAACCATAAGTAGTTACAAATTATAAAAATACCTACTAAATGATAAATGAGTGTATAAAAGGTACTTAACTTATATTTATAGATTTGGTGTAAGCACCGAGCGCGACTAAATTTTTACCTAAAAGTCTCAACTCTCTATATTTCTCCAGTTCAATTATGTTTTGTGTGCTTCGTATAAGTACTACTCCTCAAAATTACAAGCCTACATAATTACTCACAAACCTCGCTTTGGCATAATCGAACAGATGCAAATTCGATGTTTAAATTTAATGGATTCAATCATTAAACAATTTCGTTTATGAGTTCCGAGTTTAACATTTGTTTAAATTTAATAACTTTATATAGAAATATATATTATGTATGGAAAATTTGAGATCTTTACGTTTTAATTATATAGTTTTTCTGAAAATATGACATTTTTCAGGATTTTTACATATGTAGTTGGCCGGGTTAAGTGATTACATATCCTTACCAGTATACATAGATTATATACAATTATACATATGTTATACATAAATTTTACATTTTTTTTTAAGTTTAAACGATTGAGTGGACAACTATTTAAATTATTTCTTTCTATTTTTTCCACAGGTAATTATCCCCTTAATTATTGGGTAACTCATAGTTTTGTCCGTTGTTTAAGTTAGGGAAAGCAAAGAAATGGATGTGCCAAAAATCCAGCGTTACAGCAAGAGAGGAGTTGAATAAGACATTATAATAAGGCCAGACAAACATTCACATGAAAACAATGTGTAGCTTTTGTCATAAACCCAAAATGTTAGAGAAGACGTAATACATTTTTTATTTTTTCAAATTTTTATGTTGACATATTCTACACCTTGGATTAAATTTTATAAAAAATTCCTTGAAATGTTAGTATTAATAATCCAAATATATGTTTGTTAATTGTCCATGGTAGATCAATCAACTACTTATAAGCAGTAACAAAGATAAAATTTCATCAAAGAGATGCAAAAAAAAAATGTTCAGCTATATATATACACACACGTACACACACACAAAAAAATTAACCTATATATTGAATATAATTTTTCAGCAAAGAAAATTCAATGGAACTAATATATACTAGTTCTAAGCAGAGACATAACGTACATTAGGATGATTAAGGACATGTACGAATGTGCTAAGATTCATGTGAGGACTGCGGAAGGAGACTCAGAACATTTCCCTGTGGAGATGGGGTGCATCAAGGATCGGTCCTTAGCCCATTTTTGTTTCCCCTAGCGTTGGATGTGCTGACACGACACATACAAGGGAGGCCGCTATGGTGTATGTTATTTGCTGATGACATAGTACTGATTAACGAGACGCGAGGGGGTGTTAACACTAGGTTAAAAGTTTGGAGACAGACGCTGGAATCCAAAGGCTTCAAGTTGAGTAGGTCAAAAATTAAATACTTGGAGTGCAAGTTCAGTGATAGACACATGAAGAAGTAGTGGAAATGAAGATTGATACTCAAGTCATTCCCAAAAGAGACAGTTTCAAGTATCTTGGGTCTATAATCCAAGGCAACGGAGAGATTGACGAGGATGTTATTCACCGTATTGGAGGGAAGTGGATGAGATGGAGGCTAGCTTCGGGTTTTATGCAATAACAATGTGTCGCCTAGACTTAAGGGCAAATTTTATAGGGTAGTGGTTAGACCGACTATGTTGTGTGGAGCTAAGTATTGGCCCATCAAGAAGTCCCATATCGAGGAGATGAAAGTAGCTGAAATGAAGATGTTGAGATGGATGTACGGACATACCAGGAAAGACAAATCGAGGTTGTGATGGTTTGGGTATGTGAAGAGGAGTGACATAGATTCCCCGGTAAGGAGGTGTGAGCGGTTGACCATAGCGGCTTGAGGAAGGGCAGGAGTAGGTCAAAGAAGCATTGGGAGAGGTGGTTAGGCAGGACATGTCATTGCTTCATCTTACCGAGGACATGACTCGAGATAGGAAGGTGTGGTCGAGGATTAAGGTGGTGGGTTGATATGTAATTGTGAGTTTCTCCTAGGTTTACCAGTAGTACTAGTACTATTCTTATATTCTTTTATTCTTATTTCTTTATTACTTGTTATGTCACTCGTTTCCACTACTTATTACATCACTGATGATATTGCCTGTTGCTTTAATTTATCTTATCGTTTCTTAAGCCGAGTGTCTATCGGAAACAGCCTCTCTGTCTTTATATGGAAGGGGTAATCCTGCGTACATACTACTCTATCCAGATCCCACGTATGAGATTAAGTTGAGTTTGTTATTGTTGTTGTCGTCGTCTAAGTAGGGGCCGATCTAGGATTAAGAGGTTTCAGATACCAAGTTAATCGATTTGGTCAACTTTGTACTTTGATTCAAGTTATTCATCTTTTTTTTTTTATATATAGACATACAGAGCTAGAAAATAAATAAGTGGAGCCTTATTTTTATTAAACAAAAAACAAATGTCAACAATACATTAAAAAAGAAGCTCAGCGGAAATATTTGCTACAGTCTCCGTGTATTCATCTGTGTGTGTCCGCCTCTTTAGTTTTAGCCACTTTTGTTATTGAGGATGGCACTTTAATATTACTACTAAATCTTATAAACTTCACCAAATCAATAATCCGTGTTAGGGGGGGGGGGGGGGGGGATTGGTAGTGCTTTGGTTTAACTTGATTTTGTAGTAAAAAATCTCGAGCATAATTGATTTGGTTTTGATTTAACTAAAAAAATCAAATCGAAATTAAATCAACCTGACATTATATGTATGCAATTTATTTTTAAAAAGTATTTATTGTAATATAATTTATAAGTATTTCTTAAGCGTTTTCATAGTTATTGTCTTTTAACATATTATTTCAAGCTAGGACTTAGGATTTTCGTATGGTTCGATAAGTTTTAGGGATCTTTACACGAATAGCCGACCTGATTCACTGTTATTTTTTCTAGTAAGTATACATAGCTTATACAACAATTATACATAAGTATACACATATTACGCATGAATTATATATGCATTGTATATCGGCCAGCTATTTTTAGTTTATACGGTTGGTTGAGTGGGCAACTATTCAAATTAACTCTCCTAAGTTTTATAGCTCATAGATGTCCGTAAATCAAATAAAGCAAACCAAACAAAATCAATACTAATACTAACAAAAAATTCATTCAACACTAGGAATGATAATAGTGTTGGATATATATTTTTATTTTTTAGTTCTGCATTGTTTTAGACTATAAAAATGCTAACTTAGTTTTATTTTCTTTAGTGTTTAGTCATATAATTAATACTGATTAGCCATATTTATTTAATTTTAGCATGGCTTAGTACTTTTAAATTATATTCATTTTTATTATGTCTTATTAATTAGCCATATTTGTGTTA